TAAATTATCATATTATAATGTATATATTATATATATATATATATATATATACTAAGATTTGAATATAAGCAACACCACATATAAAATTACATTCTTTGAATAAGAGGAGACGAGCTGTGATCTGAAATGATGACAATTTCGTCGTTCTTATAGAAGAACTTCGTTCTCACAAAAGAGTTTTGAGATTTCTCCAAATAAAATTTTTTATAAATGCCAGTCGAACGAACGATACTTCAGTGTGTCCGCAAACTAAACTTAAAAGTAATATTTTTTAATTTTTATGAAATTATTTTTTTGCAAAACCCATTCCCGCAAAATAGAGGAAAATGTGATGAAGAGAAATAATTTAGTATATGTGCGCGTGCGTGCGTGCGTGTGCCTCAAGTCTTGGCCTGTTGGTGGCGAGATCACTGCAAGTCTTCTCAGGTCAATGGTTCGATCCCATCGTGGCGTAGAGACTCTGGAATTTTAGGCACATGGTGCGAGATCTTATCATGGGCCAAAAAGAGTATGACAAATTGATATTTGGGTCTCTGTCAAATATCGATTTTATTTATAATATTGTTTAAATTTATTCTTAACAAATATATATATATATATATATATATATTATTTGGGGAGGCGGTGTGGTGCCGATGCGGCACCGTACCGCAGTTTCGTTTGTTTTGGTAAACTGTATTTTGACAGTTTTTCCAAAAAGTTGCCGTTGAAATTTATGTTTTCTCACCGTTTCCGGCTAGGTGTGATGACAGTTTTCTAGATGCTCTCTGACTTTTCAAAAGAAAAAAACTTGAAATTGTCACTGCATCTTTTTGAACCTCAGATTATATTTCAGCTGCTTTTTACTAAGTTAAACTGCAGCCGCCCCAAACAGGACCTTAGAAATTGATTAATGATGAGAGCATCATGTTCGTTCATGTCAGGTTCGAGGGCCAGGATTGAAGGATTCGGTTGACGTGGCTGGGCTTAAACCCTGCGTTCTCACCATCGTCGAAGGTACCCGGCTATGAATTTTTTATCATTTATCATTTTTTTATATTTACGTATTTGTGTACGGCACGCATCGGTAATTCTCTAAAAAGAATGGGCCCAGAAAATAAAACCTTCCTTCGATTTCTTCCTTCTCTTTTGGGTCTGGGTCACAATTGATTGAGATGGTTGCTTTAATGTGGAGAAGAGGACTACGACGAAGAAGGAGCCATCGCCCACGTGAGGCGTCTACTGGACATTGTTGCTTGCGTCTCCTTCTTCGGCGCCGCACCTGCTCAGAAGGATGCTTCGCCGCCGGCGATCGGCATTGCGGCGTCCAAAGAAGGGAAGAGGGAAGGCTCCGGCGGCGGTGACGGAGGAGGTGGTGAAAGCAAGGGGAGTAAGCAGAATCCGTCAAGGAAGGACGCGTCGGCGGAGGTGGAGGCGGAGATAAGCGGTGCTGCCCCGCGGCTCGGTGCCTTCTACGAGTTCTTCTCCCTCGCGCATCTAGTACCGCCTCTTCAATGTAAGGGGCATTTTTTCCTTTCGATTCTCTCTCGATTTTTACTCCGTTGTTGAACAGAGTCGGTGTTCGGTTCTTGATTGATTGGTTTAATTCCATTGCAGTTATGAGGAGGACGACGAGAATACGGCAGGATGATCAACAGATTGAGAAGGATCATCTGTTTTTCCTCGAAGTGAGGTTTTTATTTTGTTATATATTTTGTCTTCTTTTGAAATTGGGTTTCAGTTTGACTTAATTTGTGCAAAATGCCATCGATTGAAGATTAAGCTTTGCAATGGGAAGCTGGTTTTGGTGGAAGCATGCGCGAGGGGGTTTTACAGCGTTGGGAAGCTGCGAATTCTCTTCCATGACCTTGTCGATCTTCTAAGACAGATCAGTAGGCCTTTTGACAAGGTGACTGATCTATTTCTCTGTAATCCTTATGATTCTTCCTTTCAGATAACTTTTCTGTTGACATTTATTAAGCTATGGGTGCTTGGGATTCACTTATGGCCGCATTCCCCTTATAAATACACTCGAACATCGCCACAGTCGATTGTAGCACGCCAATTTATTAGATTTCTTTATGCTTCCAGGCTTATGAAGATCTGATGAGCGCATTGTTGGAGAGAAATAAGGTTAGATTGTTTAAGGTTAGATTCTTGCGTTGTTATGTCATTGCTCGTGTGTTTTTTTTTTTCCTTTATTTTCTTTATGTCAATTGCTCATGTTATTATAGGATTTTTTTTTATATATAAATTTATTTATTACTTGCATTATAGAGCAACATATTGGATGCTTACAGTATAATTGAACTCCATGAAAGTTTTTGACATAAACTTTATTGCTTATTTTAATACTTAGAGAAACTTTATTGCTTAATTTAAATCTTAAATGTTATAACTATTAAGATAACCATCCGGCCCTTTTTAACCCATTAAAAATGGTTTAATAATCATAGACATTAGGCATGGTTGTAGAAGATGTTACATTTTTTTTATCATTATTAACATGTGTGAAGTCAAATTGTTGGAGTAAAGTTCAAGCTCAGCCTCTTTAGTTTTCTTATGATATTACATGCACATTAAAGTACATGAAGAAGAGAGCAGGATACAATATTTTTATTTTTATGTGCAAAAATATTAAAATCCTTTGGCCTCTCTGTAACGCCCAATTTCAGTTACCCTATAAAATGTCGTATGGGAGAGGCAGAAACTTACCAGGAGTGTTAATTGGCGAGTGCAAGAGACGACAAACGCAAACTAGGGTTTCCCTGTAGTCGAAGGAAGTGTCGACAGACGTCGTCTTTGTTGACAGCAAAGGAAGGACGTCTTTGTCGAGCAACCAAGGAAGAGAATAACAACATCTACGACTTTGATAATGAGCAGAGCAGTTGACGTTGGGCCACGATCGAAGGAGCCGACGTTGCAGCGGCTCTTTAGGAGCTCTCTCATATATATATATATATATATATACATGTATATACATATATAGATATATATATATATACATGTATATATATACATATATATATATA